TGCTATGTGATCTTTAGATGTTTGTTGTATATTATTTTCTTTTTGTAATTTTAATAAATACTTTTTTGTATATTTTGTTTTATCACTCATTTTTATTATATAAAGAAAATTAATTTAAATTACTTTTAAATAATTAAAATTGTAATGTTTTTCTTGTAATTTTTAAAAATATAACATTTTAAAACCTTTACAAATCTTCTTTCTAATCTTCTTAATTCTAATCCTGCTTCTACTACTAGTTATAAATCGTTTTCCAATTTTATTGCTTCTATTCTTTCTTCTAACTCTTCGTAATCTTTTTTTTTTTTTGTTTTAATTTTTTTATCATTAATCTTAATTTACTTAAGTTTATTATTGTTACGTTTAATCTTCTTTTAAATAATTCTATTAATTCTTGTAATTTTTTTGGTCCTTCACGATATATTCTACTTCATCATCTATACTTTCGTCAAACATAACATTATCAAAAAATGAAACTAATTCTTCTATTTGGTTTAATCTAATTTCGATCTTATCTTCCTCATAACTTAAATCTTATAATCTTTCTTTTTTAAATTTTAATTCTAATTTTAATTCTTCTAACCTTTTATAAGAATTAATTAATTCGTTTTGCATCTAGTTTTCCATTTTTTTTATATAGAAAATTATTTTGTATAGAAAATTATTTAACTAATTTTCAAATAATTTAAATTATTGTATTTTTTTTATTTATCAAGTTATTAATATACAATGTTCATTTTATTTCCGTCTGATTGAAATTGTATCATTATATCAGATATTACAACAGCAAATGCTTCATACCTTCCGAAACAGCTGCATTAAATGTTGCTTTAATTTGAACATCTACTACTGATGATTTTAATCTTTCTGATTGCTTACTCACATCAAAAACCATAAGTATGTATAAATCTTTATAGTCAGCAGGAGCTATGTTGCTTTGTGTAATCAGTTCATTCATTCCATAAAACTTTTCACTAAACGTAGATGCATCTCTATAAGCTCTTGAAAATTGTTGATTTGGAAACGATAAATTATAATCAACAGCAGGATATCTTTCTTGATTAAGCATGATGTACATATTTTTTAAGTCACAATGATCAAATATTGAAGGATTGAGTTCTTGATTTCCATTTTTATTTGTTTTGAATCCAACAATAATATATCTTGGTTTTTCAGTAGATGTTTATACACTCAGTCTCCAAGTAAATGTAGTAAATTGTGGAACAGTTATAGTATCACACTGTCGTAAACGAAAAGTTACTGGAAGTGTCACTTTTGATTCAATAGCTTTATAAAGATTATTTCTTTCTATATCTGACGGAATAACTTGTGGTATAAACAATGATATTTTATCAAGATTAACTTTTCCATCAGCTAAAGTAGCAACTCTAAAAATTGCATCATTGTCACTTTTTCTAACAAGAGTTAGTGTATGTTTAAATCCATAAATAACTTTGTTGTAATCATCAATATACTAAATGAAAATGTTCCTTTTGTAGTTAGTTTCTGAACTATGTAAGATTGTCTTATTGCAAATCCTGCATTATCAGCAATTACTGCTATTGTGTCAGAATCTTTAGTCCACAACTGATTTAATCCTTGTGCTAATTGAAAGTCATTTGGGTATTTGAGCATTCCTAACATTGTAGTTGCATCTCCATTAACATAAGCAGTTTCATCAGCTTTAAGAAGTCTTCCTTCAAACAAAAGAAAAGCTTCAGATGGAAGTGTAAACAGATCTTTCTGTTCAATGTTGATTCTTATTTCTCCTACCCTATTTAGATTTGTACGAGCTACTGGCTCATATTCATGGAAACCTTTCAATTCCTTCATCTATAAGTGGGGTTTCTGTCAAATTTAATACGTCAGAGGTTGTAATTTTTTATATAAAAGAAAATTTATATCATTTTTTAATATAACTACATTTGGATCTACGCTAATCTTAATCCACGTCCTTTTTTAACTAAACCTTCTATTCTAATTGCATTCGCATTTGAAATTTTCTTTGTACTAAGCATGGATCTTTCAGATCTAGAATTTATTGCTGATCCCATCATTAATTTATTTATATTTGTTACTTCATCAGATTCAGATTTAATCAAATTTGAAAGTATTTCTTTACTTTTAGGTGAAATTGTTTTGTTTTATGCTTTTTGAATTATTTGTTTTCCTTTATCTACCGCAACATCTTTAGCAGCCGATATTGCAGTAGTAGCAAGTTCTTATCCTGCTGACTTTGCAGCAGTTATTGCAGTTTTTCCTAAGTCACTAGCAGCTAATCTATTTAACATAGCTGATGATACTTTTGTTACATTTGACGCTGCTACTCGTCTAAATAAATTTTAAATGCTATCAAATATTCCACTTCCACCAAAAACATGTTTTTTCATGAATTTCTTGTTTTGTACAATTTACATTTTATTTACTAAACATAATATTTTAACTTATTTTTATCTTGATCCTTCGGATCTCCATAAATCTCCATAGACATAAATCTCCATAAAACAAATTCTTTTTTGCTTTATACTCTTCAGCATTGATTACACATTGTCGTTTTAATTCATCGCAAATTGCAACAGCTTCATTTCTAGCACCAGTATTCCCTGCTTTCCACGCAGCTATTCGTAATGTAAGCATTTCAGTTAGTGCATCTGGATCGCTAGGAAAAATTAATACTCTATTTCCAGATTTTCCAGTTATCTGTTCCCAAATAGGTTTTATTATCTCTTTATATTTTTCATTTCTAGATGATCTAGGTTTTCCTGGATATTTACTAGAAGAAATAACACCTGTTTCTTTCATTATATTTTTATAATCTTCAAGATCGTCTTCATTATATATATTTTTATCAGGAATAGCTTTTGTTATCAATTCCCAAAGACCAGTAGTTCCAATATATTTTTTGTCATCAATAATTATATCATTATTATCATTTAATATTGTTTTTTTTTCCTATATAGAATTTTCCACATTTTGAGTGTATACCGAATGTAGTATCTGCTGCCTTTTTATCACTAAATGCGAACTGTAGATATTTTGTTGCTATAGTTCCTATATATTTTCAAAATTAAATCATTTTACTATCAGGTTTCATATCAGGTTTAACATCTTTACTCGTTATTTCTATAGTTTCAGGGTAAGCAGTTGAAAAAGTAAGTGCTAAATTATTAGCTTTATCTTCTAATTTAGATAAGTTTTCTTTTATACCAGTTTGACTATCTAGCAACGGCTTATAAAACTTTGTCAAATTTGTATGTAAACTAGATTCACCTATCTTATCATCTAAAGAATCTCGATATACTTTCTTCTTTAAATTTAGAAATTCATTAACTATTTTATCTCTTTTTTCAGGATCTGTAATTTTTAAAATTGACATTTTTATATATGCAACATTTTTTTAAATTAGTAATTTAAAAAAAAAACATGTGTTTACGTTTGTTGTTGAACGTGTTTACGTTTGTTGTTGAACGTGTTTACGTTTGTTGTTGAACGTGTTTACGTTTGTTGTTGAACGAAGTTACTTACTGTATTTAGCTTTGTTAATCGTGTTTTGATTCTTATTAAACATATTTTGGAATGTTTTAATAGCTTCTTCTCTTCCTTGTTTTTTAATGATGTCTTAGTTTGTTCATCAATTTCAATTTTAGCTTTTGCTCTAATTTGTTCAAGCATGACTTGAAATTTTTCAAGTTCTCTAAGTATCATGTCATATTCTTGTTCATTTATACTTCCATCTACTAAAGCTTTAGAAATATATTCACTTAATGTATTTAGTTTTGAATCAGCCAACACTTTAATCTATTCATGCTTTTCTGCTTTTAAATTTAATTTTTTATTAACTTGTCCACCTATCATTGATAATAGACCTGCCCCCAATGCTTCACCCTCACATGCAATAACTGCTGGAAATGCAATTATTGTTGATAAAAAACCAGTTCCGATAGCTCCAAGTATCTCACTAATCTTTTGTAAGCGATATACATGACCTTGATCTTGGAAACTCGAGCCTTCTTGTGCAGTTGGAAAATTTGAATAAACATTTTTGTATTCCATATTTTTGTATTCCATGTTTTTGTATTCCATCTTTATAAAGAAATATTTTTTTTAAATGAGTTTCTAACGTTTTAATAAAACAGTACACTTAGATGAAGTACTAACACGTAAACTCTTAGATGAATTACTTACATGTGAACTCTCTGTTAAAGTTATAAAACCAGCACTTTTATGTGAAGGACTTGTAAAACATAAAACAAAGCAAAAACTTTCTCCTTTATTAATTTTTACATCTGTCATATAATTGTTAAATACACTTACTATAATTTCATCAGCAGACTCTGCCATTACAGAATTTAATAAATTTAACTTAGGTTTAAGGTTTTCTTTTAATGCAACTAATGCATCACCTTTTCTAATTGCTACTCCACACTTTAGAGCAATAAGTTGCAGTGATCTTGATTTTATTACAAAATCCTGCTGTGCAAATATTTCACATCGTCCATTCTTAAATACTGAAGGATTTATTAGATATTCATGTAACTTAAAAGTTACTAGAGGTTCATCATTTTTAGTATTATTTATAAGTTTATGTACTGAAACAGCCATTTATATATATATATATATATATATATATATATATATATATATATATATATATATATATATATATATATATATATATATATATATATATATATATATATATATATAGAGAGAGAGAGAGAGAGAGAGAGAGAGAGAGAGAGATTTTTTTTATATCATTTTAATATTCTTCAGTTTTATTGTTGGTTCCCTGTGATTGCTTTGATTATCTAGACTGAATAGTTGTTTATATTATCAAAAATGGCGGAATACGCCATGCTTTCCTTTTAGTATAATATATCAGAATAATAAAGACATAAAACGGGTTGGCGAGAATATTAGAGCTCTCCATCGGAGAGATCTAACACACTCCCCCCTTGAACAAAACGTTCAACAAACTATAAAACAAATTGGAAACAAAATTAAAATTGTCCCATTAAGCGTCTTATTAGTATTCCGTTTCTTGATGCTATTCGTACAGGTCTTTCGTATTTCGTATCAGAAAAATCGTTACTTTCATCTACAGCATCGTTTCTGGCGTTTAGCTCTGTATCAGTTACTGTTTCGACTGACTTGACTTCTATAGGGTATAGCTTTTCGATAGGACGCTTAATATAATTTTGCTTGTTTGTTTTACCTGTTAAGACTTTTACTATTGCAGAACGAACTATGTCATCGCTTCCCGTAATCAGTGACACTACTTTTCCTAATCGCCATTTGTACCTTTTAATATCAGAGTGAATAACAACAATTTCTCCCAGTTCAATCGATCGACTCTTACTGGATCCCTGCTTGTGGAATTCTCTAAGATTAACTAGATATTCACTTGTAAATCTTACCCAAAAATGATCACGTATCAGTTTTAAATATTTCATTCGTTTAGTTAACTGAATCTTACTTTCAAGCTTGTCAAGATCTGCCCCTTTAGTTTCGTTAGGTGAAATAAGTCTTCGACCATGCATCAAATGGGAAGGGGTAAGAAATTCCTCAGTGTCTTCATGGTAAGCGTATGTTATTGGTCTTGAGTTGAGAAGACCCTCTATTTCACAAAGAATTGTTTCCAGCTCGTCATATCTGATGCTACTTCTAAACACAACCTTGAGTAGCGATTTTTTGACCGATTGCACTAGACGTTCCCAAAAACCACCCCACCAGGGAGCAGCTTCAATAATATATTTCCAACCGATTCCCAACAACAAAAGCTTTTCGCTTAATTTAACTTCTTCATTCTTAAAACATGTGGCATTGTCTGATATTATAAGATTTGGAATTCCTCTTCTTCCAATAAAACGTTTTAAGCATAGAACAAATGATTTCGCAGATAAGTCAGGTACTAAGTCCAGGTGAACGGCTCTGGTGATGGCGCAGGTAAATAACACTACGTGCACGGGATACATTTCAGTAGAATTATCATCGAATATCGGTTTAACGTGCAATGGTCATAAATAATCAACTCCAGTATGCTGGAAAGGAAAACTTGCAGTGACACGATAGTGAGGCAACGGTGGTGACACTTTAGATGTAAAAGTCTTCCCAAACAACCTTTTACAGAATGAACATTTGTTTATCAATGAGCGTACAAGCTTACGACCTCGTAGGATCCAGTATTTTGACCTTATTTGGCAGAGAGTTTCCTTTACACCTGCATGTAGATTTCGTTTTGTGAGCCTGACATATTAATAATTCTGACAAATAAGACTTGGTAGCAAAATTGTGTGTTTAGCATTATAAGGCAGTATTGAATTTTGATACCGTCCTTTACAACGAACTACTTTATCCTTGTCGACGAAGAGACCTAAAGTGTTGTTCAGAATTTCCACTTTGTTAGAAAGGTCACACTGGTAGGTTCGGATCCAAAGAATTTCAGCTTTTCGAATATCCGCAATGCAAAGAGATTTTGTCTGATTATTGGCTTTTTTTTTTAAGATGCTTAAGACTAGTTATAAATTTTAACACATAAGCTGTAACTTTAAAAAGTTTGTGCAACGAACTGAATTGCTCAACGTTGATTACATTACGCATATTCAAGCTGTTGGTTTCAAGAGCTTCTTTTAACTTCACTATTTTTTGTGCTGAATTTCGTAGGGTTTACATTTATGACCACGCTAAGATTTGATATTTCGTCAGTTTTACTTTTGTTGAATATATCGGATGGTTCTGCCGGCCAATATAAGAGATCTTGATAAAGAAACTCAGGTCCATCCATCCAATTTTCAAACCAATTACCAGATTTAAGGATTGAGAGGCCCCTTGAGGGCAGATCCGCTGGATTGATTTTACCAGGGCAGAATCTCCCGTGATTAGGTGGAATGTTTTTCTTTATTTTCGTTATTCTATTTGTAATGAATTGGTTTCTGTTTGCAGAACTATTCTTTATCCAGCATAAAGCATCCATTGCATCGCTCCAACAGTAAATATTCTCTATTTTAAGGGTACTATTTAAAGACTCAATTACACATGCCATAAGTGAAGATAGCAGTAGACAAGAAGGCAGTTCAAATTTAGGAATGGATATAGGTTTTAGCGGAGAGATCTTTGTTTTGCTGGCAATAAGTCTACCTAGAATCTGTTTATCAGGAGTTTGGACAGTTATAAAAACTACAGCTGCGTATGCACTTTTGCTGGCATCACAAAAGCCATGTATAGTTATGTTAGTTAAGTTTTTTATTAAATGTTCTTTAAAGAAATAGCGATGCCACTCATACACAAGATTACAAGATAATAACTGCATTAACTGATTCCACTCATTTTTTAACTCGTCATTTAGCTCCTTGTACCAATCTTTTATTGTAGTGCATATTTTTTGAAAAATGAGCTTTAGTTGTAAAATTGAGGGAGAAATGATTCCGATTGGGTCATATATAAATGCAATAATTTTTAGAACATTTCTCTTTGTGACTCTTTTATTTGTTCCAGCTTCATATTGTTTAGTTAGATTAATTGACAATTTGTCATGACCAGTGTCCCATGTGATGCCTAGGATTTTACTTTCCGTACTTGGGTGATCTTGTGGATTGAAAGATGATATATTTGATATAAGGCGACTGTTATTTGAACGCCATTTTTTAAGGTTTAACCCTGCTGTCTTTAGACGTCATTTTGCTTTGAGGCAAAATTCGAGTACCTCATTTGATGTATCTCCTCTTGCAATGCTATCGTCAATATATAAATTTATTAAGAAATTGTTCACAAATTCTGGATCGCAATGTTTGTATTGATATAAATGTTTCATGATAGATACTAATAATAAGAATTGTGACGAGTTCATACCAAATAGTACTCTAGTATAGCGATAAGAGATTTTTGGATTGCTGTTGTTTACTTTGTCGAACCACAAGAATCTCAAAAAGTCACGATCATTTTTGTTTACAGCAATGTTGAGAAATGCTTTTTTGATATCACTAGCTACTGCTATTTTGTAAGTCCCAAATCTTATAAGAATATCAATTAACATGGGAAGCAGGCAAGGACCCTTTTCCAAACAATCGTTTAATAAAGGACTATTTGACGATGCATCAAAGACAATTCGTAATTTTGTGGTAGACTTTTCCTCTTTGATTACTGCGTGATGCGGAAGATAATGGACTTGTCCTACGAGTGGTGGAAAATCGGGGATTCTTTCTATAATTCCTTCATGTTCCTGCTGACGTATAATCTCATTGTACTGTTGCAATAAGTTTGGATTTTTCTTGAGACGATTGTAAGTTGATAGCAATCTGAGTTTGCTTTTCTCATAATTATCTGGAATCTGTTTGCGTTCTTGTTTCCAAGGTAGAGGTACGGAATATCTCTTACCATTAAACTGGATTTTGTCATAAAAATTTTTTAAGTCAAAGGTTGTGTTTATTTCATTAATATCTTCTAATTCCCAAAATTTACCAAGACTGCCAAGATCGTCAGAATTAACTAAGATTGGTTCAGAAGATGTATGAAGAACAGATGCTATATTTACAGAAGCAGAATTAATCGATTTAACATTTCCATTAAGAGTCCAACCAAGAATTGTGTTTACTGCGGTTAGAGATTGGTTTGCTCTAATTAATTGTCCTGTTACAAAGTTCCAGTAGTAATTTGCACCTATTAATATGTCAATTTCTTTTCCATCTTTTAAATCATCAGCTATCGGTATATTGGCTAATTCTGTGTGCTGCAATTTTGCAAGGTCGATTCGTTGATTGATAATAGGAGAGCATATGATTGGTGTAACATATGCTTCGAATGTAGAATAATGATTGGTTTGGATGTTTTTAATTTTAATACTGACAAGGTCAAATTTTCGAGGCTTTTCACAGCTTTCTCCAAACACTTTGATATTTAGAATTTTGTTTCGAATAGTTTTGAGATTCAACTTCTTTCTTACATCAGATGTCACAAAGGACTTTTGAGAGCAATTATCAAATAACACTCTTGCAACAATTTTAGTTTTCTTTATTGAGTTGCTTGTTTCTGATATTTCAGCTTTTGCAGTTTGTAGGAGAATATTATCTTGACAACCAACAACATTGACTGAGGTGTCTGGTATGGTTTTATCTGAATTTGAGTTTACATAAGCTCCAGCATTGTTTTTTTATCACAAATTGAAATATGATGCTTACCATTACACTGAAAACAAATATTTTTCGAATAACAATTTTTTACAGAATGTCCTGATTTTAAACAGTTATAGCATTTATTTTTGGTTTGAATAATACGTTTTCTTGCAACAACATCTATAACAACATTACACCGATTACTTGGATGCTTACCTTTACAAAATGAACAAGAAATGAGCTTAACTGATTTGGGTTGCCACTCTCTTGGTTTTACATGTTTTTGTTGAGAGTGCATGGTTGATATGTATTTTGGAAAATGATCTTGATTTATGTCTAAGTTACTCATTCCTTTTTCCATAGATATACAACGCTCACGAACTATAAGTTCCTCTCTAAAGCAGTTCATAAGGTCTATTATTTTCCACTTTCCTAGAGGCATCTTTCGTGTAATGTCGAGTTTAAAGTCTTTAGGCAATTTACTCATTATTACTGATACAAGTACTGGACCAAAATCCTCTGAGTTAACATTTAAGAGTTCTAAGTTTTTAGTATGAATTTCGACTAAGTCGAAGATTGTTCGGATTTCAGAGACTTTATTACTTTGAGTAGGTTGAATGTTGAGAAGAGCATCCATGTGAGCGCTTATTATCACTTGTTCGTCTCCAAATCTTTCTTTAAGAATTTTAATTGCAGTTCTATAATTTTCACCTGTTATGGCTAAACCTTGGGTTGAAAGACTCGCATTTCCTTCTAAGAGACTTTTGAGGTAATTGAATTTAGAAATGTCATTTAATACTTGGTTTGAATGGATAGCACTATCAAAACTGTCCCAAAACGATTGAAAGGTCATTGGATCGCCACTATACTTGGGAAGTGTCAGCTTGGGCAGTTTGGCAGAGATTGAATATTTAGGTTTGGAAGCTGGTTTCTCAATATGGAATGAAGATTCATTAGGATTTTGTTTAAAATACTTTTCGATGCGTATAGTGGTTTTTAAAATGTACTTTTGAAAGTCTCCAGATTCGTTCATATCCGTGCAAATCTCATCATCATCTTCCAACAACTCACTTATTTTATCGTTAAGATTTTCTATAACTTTCATTTTTATGTTCAACAGCTCCAAGTTCGTATTTAAGTCAGTTTCCACATCTTCACGATTTTCGCTAGACTCAAGTTCCTTATCTAATAAGATATTCGTTTCTTCTATAATTTTTGATGCATACATTTTATGCATCCTTCTTGATTTTTTCATCGATTTTAGTTGCATATCCATGTTTTAATTTATCAAAAGAGTTATCTTATTATGAACTTCCAATTAAGATATAAATAAAAGTTTCGGCACCATATGTTGGTTCCCTGCGATTGCTTTGATTATCTAGACTGAATAGTTGTTTATATTATCAAAAATGGCGGAATACGCCATGCTTTCCTTTTAGTATAATATATCAGAATAATAAAGACATAAAACGGGTTGGCGAGAATATTAGAGCTCTCCATCGGAGAGATCTAACATTTATTATCAGATTCATTTCCTTAATCTAAATCGTCCATAATACTTTTAAAACTTGACTTAAAATTTGAAATCTTTTTTTTAAATAACCGCTTCTTGCAATTTAACTTAAATTGATTCTATCATTGCACCAATAAATATTCCTTCTATTTTTAAACATCCAACAACATTACATTTTTGATTAATATAAATTTTTGCTAAAATATAAACTCTTGTATTTTCAGATTTTTTACTAAAACTTGAAGTTATTTGTAAAGGACATTTAAAATCTGTAAGTAATTTTGCATAAACAACTGGAGATACATCTGGTTTTTCTGTATTACATTTTAATATTTTTAAATTTTCAACATTAACTGAAGTTTTTCTTCCACCTCGTCTTATTTTTTTATCGTATTCTTCAATCATTCTTTTACAAAACTCTTCAATAAATTTAATCACTTCAATAAACTTTTCTTGATGAAGAGTTTTACCTACTTTTTCATCAAAACAAACAAAAGACATTGAATACCCTGTAATTTTTTTAGTTTTTATATCTTTATTTTCACAAATACCATGGTAATGGTATTTGTGAAAATAAAACATGGTAATGTCTTTATATATAATGGTTCTTCTCCTATTGGATATTTATAAACAAGTTTAGTTTTTTGGTGAGGAACAGGTTTGTTAAATTGAACTAACTCTTTTACAGTCAAATTATTTACATCAAATTTTTCAATCGTTACATACATTTTATATAGAAAAGATTTTTTTTTTATGTCATTTTAATTTTTCTATTTTTTATTGTATTTTTATTGTAATGTAAAATTATATAAAATTATATAAATTATATATCTTGTATATATATATATATATATATATATATATATATATATATATATATATATATATATATATATATATATATATATATATATATATATATATATATATATATATAAAATGCATATATTGATTAATGAAACGAGTACAGATATAACAAGTAAGTTTAACCCACTTATCAAACTTAGAGATGATTATGATTATGAAATAGCTTTAGTTGAATTAAAAGCCCATTTCAGATTACTAAATATTAATTCTTCAAACAATAATTTTAGATATAGTTCAAATAATGGAATCGATTGGAGAGATATAACTATTCCAGAAGGAAACTATAATATTAATTACATAAATACTTATATAAAAAACATGATGTATAACAAAGATTATGAATATTATATTGATATTCATTCAAATTCTCCAATTACATTCTTATTAAATATTTATAGTAAATGTAAAATTGATTTTACAACTTTAAATTTAGTTAGAACTATTTTAGGTTTTAACAATCAAGTATATTCGTCAGGTAAACATGCATTAGAAAGTATTATAAATATACTACATATTAACAGAAAGTATTATAAATATATTACATATTAATTCTTTAAAAGAAAAAAACAAATATTCTTTAAGAAATGATAATTTTATTAAACAACCAAAATTTCAAACAAACTTTGGTAAATTTTGCATTTCTTTTCGTGGAGCTTTTTTATGGAACCAAATAATTTTAAAAAATTTTGATTTTTCTCATGAATGGAGTTATTATATGTTCAAACGAAAACTAAAAAAAGTAATATTCTCAATTGAAAATATATTTATATACTTTTAATTTTACCCAGTTTTGTCAACACTCATTTATATTTTACTTTTATACAATATTGATTTAAAGTTTATGTCAGAAACTGTAGTTAAACATCATTATTTGAATTTTGTTAAAAGTTCCACTGACATTATTTGTATAGTAGGCATTTATTATTTACTTGTTTACTTTAATTTTTATTTTATTTCGTAATTTTGTAAATAATTTGTATTACGAACGGTATATACTTTTAATATTGAATTTAATTTTGTAATGAAAAAAATATATATATATATTATTATTGAAAAAAAACAAAAAACAAAAAAAAAAAAAAAAAAAAAAAAAAAAAAAATACAAAAAAAAATTTGATGTATGTGACTGGATGTATCTGCAAACATTGTATGTATGATACTTTTGGAAGTTAATCATCCTTTGACAGTGGTTTAGCATTTTTGTCGGCGAAAGCGTTAACGTAAATGCACCAACATTTGATAATTATGGCTTCTCACACAATGACAACATCATTTGGCTAATCTAAATTCTTCTACACAATCTTTTGGACAATCTTGAAGTGCATTTGGATGTACCTAGTGCAATCATATTCTTATTATTTTCGTTTATTTATTAATTAATTAACAATTAAGATCAGTGTAACTGATAGATTTGAGTAACAAGAATCAGTGATCGAGTCAGATGCGAGACGTATTTATTTATTAAGAATACTATGATATTATTGTTTTCGCTTGAATCATCCGGTTCAGAAGAATTAGTACTTTAATTCCAGCAATAAAGAGCATAAATTAAAAAAGTTAAAAACTTGTGTTTATTTATTTTTGTTTTTCCTAAAATCTAAACTAAGATCAAGTTCTTCAACAGCGGTTCTCGGTGACAAGACCTGTATGGTCTTCTTTGAGTATCCGCGTTCTTTATCTTAATTCTTTATTTTTTTTGTAACGATTTTTTTTTGCATGTAAATTTTTCTTATTATATATTTGTAAATATTGTATTAAATATTGTAATAAAGAACAAAAAAAAAAAAAAAAAAAAAAACACTATACGTGTAATAAATAGTATTATAGGAGGGTCATATGTAAATGATACAACTGATAACGTTATATATTCATTTTTCCCAAATGTTAACACTGGATATAAGATTGTAAAAGAACCAGTAAGCCCAATTTATTTACCAGTAACAACAACAAAAATTTCACAAATGAAGACTAGATTAGTTGGCCAAAATGGTAAACTGCTCAGTTTACGAGGAGAAGAACTATCTATTAGATTTCATACAAGAGAATGTTCGTCTAATGATGTCATTATATCTCTTTTAAGAGAAATTGCATTTAATACGAAAAAACAATTTATGATTTAAAAAAATAATCTCTATATATAAAAACGGCAACATATCGTAATATTAAAGTAAATGTTTCAGAAGGTCAGATTAAAAAATTTAAAAAAGCAGTTGAAGATGATTATGGAGCTAGTATTGAACTACCATATTCAGATCTTAATGGTGAACACGTAATTCCTGTAACATCTACACAATTAAATAGAATTAAAAAAGCATATAAAAAAGGTACTGGTGTAAGACTTGTTTTAAGTAAAACACAACTCATGCATAATTGTAAAGTAGAAGGTGGATTTATTGGATCACTTATACCTTTACTAGGTACAGCTGGAAGTTTTTTAATGTCCAAAATTGTTCTATCACTTGCAACAGGACTATTAACAGGAATAGGTGCAGCAGCTAGAAATGCTGCAGTCAATAAAATTGCTGGAAACGGTATTGTTTACTTGAAAAAGAATGGGCAAGGAGTTAAAGTCAGAGCTGCAGAATCTGGTTTGTTTCTAAGTCCATGAAATTAAAGAAGTTCTGTAGGTGATGGAATGTACTTACGTAGTGGAAATGGATATACATCAACAGGTGCTGGTTTATTATTAGGACCAAACTCGCCATTTGCTAATATTCCATTTTTAAACATGATTTTTTAGATTTTTGATAAAAATCCAGATCTATTTAAAATATATATTTGATAGAAATATATATTTCATGAAAATTAATTTCATGAAAGTTGGTATATAAAAACAATTTAATCCACTTCTATATTTTCCATAACCTCTTTTAGAAGTTAGATCGATAACTACAAATCCATGTGGTTCTGACCAAGTTTTCCGACAAAAATTTTTAAACTCATCTTTTGACATATCACTTGAAACATGATCTTCATATTTTAAGTGATATTTAATTATCACTTGAAACATGATCTTCATATTTCAAGTGGTTGAAATATGATCTTCATAGATCATATTTCAACCATATATTTAATTAAATATATGGTTGAAATATGATCTATGTTCTTTAAATCTTGTGGAAATAAGCATATAAAATTTGCATTTTCTCTTATAGTTTGCCTTAGTGGCATAAAATAATTTTGTACGGTAGAAACAATCTACAAACGATGTTTTGAAGTCAGTAGTAGGAAAAGGATTACTGTGCCTTCCTTATATATAATATTTTTCACACTTGTTTTGCTTTGTTAATTGTAAATCAAATATCATCAAATTATTATTTTTAGCATCTAGTTCTTCAGGTTCTGGTACATCATCTGGTGTTTCAAAAAACTTACACTCCATATCTGTTTTATTATTTAAATTTTGTCTTCAATTATAAGCTCAGGGCTAGGATTCAATTTTTCTATTTTATCTTGTATTTTAAATAGTTCAAGAATAACTTCTTTTGGTACTTTTTTTTCAAAAGAAGTTTTTAATATTTTGTATTCTGGCTGAAAAAGAGATTTTCCAAAAACTTGTAAATTATTATAGTCTAACCGACCAAGCCTCAAAAGTAAGTTTAGTAATAAAGTAGTTTTTCCACAACCTGATTTTCTTACGATAATACCTCTTATAGTTTTAGGTAATAACTTGTTATTATTACGATTGCTTTTATATGCATTCCATGATAAATCTATAATATCCATTTTTATTTATATAAAGTTTTTTTAATTTATTCTATCTTACATGATTTAAAAAAATATATTAAATATATAAAATGTACTGCGTTAAATGTAGAAATAAAACAGATACACTAAACTTACAAAATGTTGTGAGTAAAAACAATAAAAATATGTTACGTGGAACTTGCTCTATT